TTTTCAACATCGGGATGCGCTTTTCTCCTAAACATCAAATTAAGCTATAATGGTTGACGTTCTTAAACGCCTGTGATGCAAAGACGGGTGAATTGCCCCCCAAGCCCGCTTATTTTTCCCTTCGCTAAGAAGGAAATCCTAAAAAAGGTGTTACTAGAAGTAGTATCAGCTCCCAGTGAGCTAGTCCCTGTGCGGCAGTTCTTGCTTTCAAGTAAAATATGCAACAAATTACGCGTAAAGATTCTGAAGGCACATTAAAAACGCAACCATCTTCAAAAATGCCACTGAAATCAGTGCATTGCCGCATGTTGGTGGTTTAAAAGCAACTGTTAGCCTCCCGAGCGTGGGAAGGCGAGCCCTCAAAAAGAGAAATTAAGACCTGAAGGGGCTCCGAGCTTTCTCATTAGATGTATTTACAGAAACTACCTCTGCTTTCTGAAACTGTGAATTTATTACATTTTCCATTTTCTTCTGAAACCTGACCTTTTGGGAAGCGGCTGCTTTAGTGTAAGAGAAGAATAACGTTTTAGCAACCTGATTGTGTAGGTATCGCCTAAAATAGTTCCTCGGCAAGAAGACAATCCCTTATGCAGAAAATACTCCAATTCACTCAGGGGCGTGCAGGAAGGCATTTGAAAATATTTACAACGTGAATGCTTCTCTGTTGCAAGAGAAAGTAGGACTGTCTTGTAACAATACAACTTTGTGCATGCTTCACCTTGCGTTAAACATAGGTAAGTAAGGGGCTGAGACACCTGGAAGAAAGCTTCGTGTTATTCTCACAGAAGGAAAAAAGACTATTAAGTTACATTATTCTTAAGTTATCTTTAACTTTTTACTGGAAGAAATGGGCGAGCGCATTGATGACCTTGAGAAGCATGTTGCTGACCTGATGACAGAGGCTGGGATAGAAAACACCGATGAAGAGTTGAGAGTAAAGAAACTTAATTTTCACTGTATTTTATGTATTTCCACTTAGTTTTGCACTATGGCGAGCACCTAGCATGAAAATATTGTTTATATAGTTATCACACCTGCATTTCCTCAGATTTAGAGAGTATATTGAGATTTTTTTTTTTTTTTTTGATATTTAAAATGACCTTGGATTTCTCTTTGCTAGGAGCCAAAGAATGCTACTGGTTTTTTGAAAGAAAAACTGGAGCTTGATGCATCTGTTCCACCAAGTGCCACATACAAGGGGTAGCGCAAACCAATTCCAAATATGTAAACTGAGGCTGTACGCTTGTAATAAAATGCGCGTGGCTTAAAGCACTCCCGCCCACCACTCCATCCCTCAAGTGTGCTAACTTAGCTGACTGAGAATTCTCGCTGGTATAAAACTTCTGTACATCTGCTTTTAAACCTGCTTCAGCTTCCCAGGGTGGCTCAGAGCACGCCTCTTCGATACACTCACCCCGCGCACAGCAGCTGTTTTGTTCTTGCAGCAGTAAGATGGGGGATGGAAGGAGCAAGGATAACTTCAGTAGTATTGTCAAACACTCTGTAATATAAAATCATGCTACGGTTCAGGGTTGCATGCGAGATTTCTGTATCGCTGTCTGTCGCAAATGCCACCCCCCTGTCCCGATGGATACCTTAGTCAGTGTTCTTAATATTTACAAGACAGCATTGCTTCCGTGTTCTGTGGGTGCGGGTGATGTCTTCTTCCTGGTGTTACACACTTTCCTGATTCAAACTGAGACACATCAATTATTTTTGTCATTTAGAGACTGCTTACCCAGTGAAAGACAGGAACAGCGGTAAATACAGTGAAGTAATTTAGGCAACTATTCGTTCTGATGCCTTTTTTGTGATAAGCCATGTAGTAATTTTCAGAAATACAGAAAGACAATCCATGAAGATGTATTTAACTGTACAGAGATCTTCCTATTTTTATGCTGAATCACATTCATGAATAATTAAACCACTAACCTACTTATTCGCTGTTTCTTTGCAGCACTGAAATGAAGATGTGACCAAGAAAGATAAAGGGAGAACAGCACCGCACTGAATCTGGGAGTTTACGATCAGTGTCACTAGTCACAAAAAGCATCAGTGAAAACAAACACACTTGCATCATGTCACAATAGAATCTCAAATTTTATTTTCAACTATTGCCCCAGGAAAAAAAGTAGAAAGCTGGGTTTATTTGTCTAAATGGGACACTATTTCCTGTAATTGGGAAAGAACTACTAGTTTCAGGGGAGGCAAAACCACTATTTTGGACAGAAAACTATATCCTGTGTAGTGAACTTACCCAGTCGCAACCTTTTTCAATGTATTAAAAATGTATTTCATTTATTTTAATAATATTAAAATTTTCATCATATTTCTTCGTTGCCTTTTTAACTTCAATGTTCTCAGCATAGCAAGATCCTTCTATGACAAAACTTTTCCATTTGCTTGTGCCATTTTAATGCTGCGTTAAATCTTTTACATTACAAAATAACATCTTATTTGACGTTATTACAAAGGTGCCTTTGCAAAACTTCATAGGTCCAATGAAGATAAACTGTTCTGCACTGAAAGCAATGGCAGTATTTGCAGAGATTACAGCTCTTCAGCTGTTACTCTTTCCACAAGCCCACCCAAAGCTGTGCACACCTGCGCAGGTGACATCATCCAGGCATGCATGCTGTGCCCATTTCAGTTCTTCAACATTAGCCATTTTGATGAAAGAGCCTAAAGACTTTGAGATAGATAGGAATTATAGTTACCGAACACATCCCGAACAAGACATGCCAGCGCCAAAGAAACAGGACATCCGCACTAACTGTAAGGTTCTTGTACACCAAAACATTGGCCCTTCTGGCAGGAAAGATTTTGTTTGAAACTTAACAGGAACCTCTTAGAACAAATGCAGAAACTGAAGCATTACCAGGTAAACAGAATACCGCCGCTAACGAAGGATAAATATGCTTTTTAAAACTTTGGCAGGTGTTAATACTTGTCATCGCTTATAGATTCTTCATTAATATCAAGAAAACATGCTAATCAATGCTTTACTCAGTGTAGATTTGCAAGCAATATCAAACTGGGGGGAGAGGGTGCTATGCTAGAGGACAGGCTGGAGAAATGGGCCAACAGGAACCTCGTGAAGTTCAAAGGCAAATGCCAAGCCTCGCCCCTAAGGATGGAGAGTCCTCAGCCTTTCTGGAAAGCCTGTTCTGCTGCTTGAGCACCCTCATAGTCGAAAAAAAGAGTTCCTTGCATCTGGCTGGAATTTCCTGTCTTCCGGCTTGTGTCTATTAGCTCTCTCGTGTAAAACACCTCCAACAAGAGTCTAACTGTTCCCCATGCTCAACCGTGGGGTAGTTGTAAGCCAGAAAGCAAGCCTTAGCCCTTTCTTAAGGCTGAACCAACAGAATTCTCTCAGAGCCTCGTATGCTTTGTGCTCCACCGTATCTTGGTGGCTCTCTGTTTAACTGCCGCCTAACAATGTATTTCTTGAACTGGGGAGCCCCAAAATTGACAGAGTATTCTGGGTGTGGTCTGACAGGAGTTGAGTAGAAGGGAATGACCTGCGGGCTCTGCTTGTGCTAATACTGAGCAGTGCGTGGCTGCAGCCTTTGTTGCCAGGGCACCCTGCTGACTCACTTTCAGCTCCCCCGCCAGACCCCGCTCCTTTCCTGCGAAGCCGCATGCCAGCCAGCCCCTCACAACCGCACTGCAGCGGACGCTGACCCTGTCCTAGGGGCGAGGCTTGGCACTTGCCTGTGACCTTCACGAGGTTCCTGTTGGCCCACTTCCCCAGCCTGTCCTCTGGCATAGCACCCTCTCCCCCCAGTTTGACATTGCTTGCAAATCTACACTGAGTAAAGCATTGATTAGCATGTTTTCTTGATATTAATTAATGATATTGGTAATTAATTGGTAATTAAATGATAATTAATTGATATTAATTACTGAAGAATCTATAAGCGATGACAAGTATTAACACCTGCCAAAGTTTTAAAAAGCATATTTATCCTTCATTAGCGGCGGTATTCTGTTTACCTGGTAATGCTTCAATTTCTGCATTTGTTGTAAGAGGCTCCTGTTCAGTTTCAAACAAAATCTTTCCTGCCAGAAGGGCCAATACTCAACACTGGACAGTCCTGAGCAACCTGATCAAGTGGGACCTACTTTGGGAGGCTGGACTAGACCTCCAATGGTCCCTTCCAACATAAATTGTTCCATAATTAATAAGCACTGTAAACCAGATCAATTTAATTTTACTTTCTTGACTCATTCTAAATTCTCTAAAACACCCAGATGGTAAAAAAGCATATTCCACTTTGTCTTGTGACAAACTGGACCAAAAGTACAGGTATCTCCTTCCTGCGTAGTCTGGCTTGTTTTTTCTTAATCCTGTAAATACGCATGTATCAGTTTAAAAAAAAAAACAAACAAAACCAAAACCCCACACAACACTGGCTCCATTACTGCAGAACAAAAGTTGTCAGAAACGCAAATGGAAACTTCAAAAGCCATGCCACAGTGGAATCCAATCCAAGTCTCATATGTGCATTTTAGTATACCATTAGGCAAACTGGAGGTCAAATGAGAGAAAGCGCAGCTCATCCTTTCTTCAGCTGTTGACTACGCAGCCAGCTCCAGAACTCCAATTACCCTTTGGCACTGCAGAATCTACTAAGTACTTCAAACTGACTACTGTGTGCATAATCACCATGAAAAAGAAGTCCATCACCACAAGTCAATTAACTTGTGGGGGAGGGAAGCCATGGAAGGTGTTTTCTCCAAGTTCTGCTAAATATTAATAAATGCACTTTAGTGTTTTCTTCCTATTTTTAGTCGATACAGAACACCAAGATACTATGCAAGGAAATCCTGACAGAAGTGATAAGCCTTCATCTTCAACATGACGACTTTGCATCCAATTACATTTGTTTTCATTCTCAAATTTAATTATCTAAAGAAAAGTGAGGTAAATAAGTGAAACTCATTTTATTCTTTTAAAAAAGCTATAGTATATTTTTCCCACATATTTGTGTAACAAAAGCAAACAAAAACAGTTGAAATGTTTTTCTGCAAACAGGCTTTTTGTGTACAAAAATACATCATGCCCAAAGGACAACACAAAGTCTTTAAAAAATAAAAATAAAAAAACAATCCAAAATTAATCTACAGTATTATTGCAGTCAGACAGTTCCAGGCTTTGTGTCTTTTACTTTTCCAAACGGAATTCAAACCTTTTAAATAATTCAAAATATGCTCAAAGTTGAAGGATTTGTAGGGTTTTTTTTTCATTTTTTATATATATATGTACACAAGAATAAATTTAAGTGGACATAGGGTTAAAAAAAAGGCAGCCCCAAAGAAATGTCAGTATCTGTATTTAGTGGAATAATCTTTTGGTGATACCACCAAACCTCGACCTTTGCGGGCTCCTCTATAAACAGTTTCTATAATGTCAATCATCTCTTGCTTATCTTCCATTGCCCAGTTGATCTTGTTGTTATTACCTGTACCTAAATCAATCATGATGTGTTTGTTCCTTTAAAGGGAGAGAAAAAAAAACCAGACAAGTTAATATGGCATTGTAACTCAGAAAGAAACTTTATATCCCCCACAAGAATGCTTTGTAGGATTCAAAAGAAGCCCTTATAACATAAACGGGCTTGCAAAATACGCCTCAAAGAAAGAGTACCCACTCCTGCCACTAAAGTTGACGTTTTACTGCCTATTTCTAAAGCTAGAACAAAAACTGCAAACATGCCCCCAAGATTGCTACTCAGTACAATTATCCTTCAGCATATTCCTCATTGTTTGTATTTCTTTCCCACTACTCTCTAACACCAGAGGGAGTCCCACACTTGTCAGTAGCACATTTTAGCTCATCAATGTAGACACCTTAGCTCCAAAAAACCTTAATACTTTGGGTATATCTTTAAAGCAAGTTTGACAAGCTTGGCTGCTGTATTACTGCAGTACTCTATATAGGGAGTTTCAGATTTAAAACTAAAGACAATGGATAATAAAAACAGTTTTCACTATCGCTAATTTTTACTCTATTATCAAAACAGCTAATTGGAAAACAAGCCATTTTCCTATTTAATCAGTTTATTCTTTTGTAGAGCAATGAAAATATAAGCATCAGTATGCTGACATGCATTTAGAAATGATCTACTGAGACACTGTACTTGACACACAAAAAATTGAACTGAGTTACATTCTAGAACCACCATGTACCTGAAGAAAAACATGACGGTACAGGGATCGTACAACTCGTACATCTTGTTGAAGTCTGGTACTTCGGTGATATCCACAAGATAAATAACAGCAAAGTTTTTTACCTGAACAGAAGAAAACAGGAATTATAAAAGCGGTATGTATTACCAAGCCCTTGATTATTTGTATTACCAATTAAAAGGCATAAGCTTTCATTATTGCAACATTTATTTTCCAAAATATTAAGTCATAAAATCAAGTAAACACTCTCGCCATTATTTTTAACCACAACGACGAATTATCATGGAAAATATTTTTAAATATAGCCAAGATGCTCATTTCACATCCAGTATCAACTGGAAAGATACTATGCTAAATCAACATCCAGAAAAACAAATGCCCTTTATATGCAACTGAGACCTCACAGTGATGTGCACAGCTCTAAACGAGTAACTGCTTTGTGCAAGCCAAGCTGACACATTTTGCCTCTGTCATCAGCTGCTTATAGACTTCAGAAAATTAACGATCTAAAATGCCCTGGTGCGTGCCTCCAAGTGTTCCTCCCCTCTAAACCATCTAATCTGTTTAACAAGGCTCATTAAATGAAAATAAAACTGATAATAAGAAAAACTGATAGCTTTTTTGAGAGGTATAGAGCTAAAACAGGAGCTTAAAAATTTAATTGATAATGAAAAAAAGACCTTGATGAGAAGCTATTCTCTGGGCAATTCCAGTACAATAGGCTTTCACTTTGCAGAGTTACTGAATTTAAAGGTGAGGGATTCTTTTGCATTTATGTCATAGTTAATGTCTTCATTCCTGAAAGAAAACCATGTCACATTTTTGTTTCCTAGACGTAGCATATTTCACCTTAAGTAGAATTAGGGGACGTTTTAGTTTCCAAACTTAGCTCATACATATACAGCAGCAGTTAACACACACACACGCATTAAAATATAAGTCAGTAGGCATCTAAATTACACAAACCTTTAACTGTAAGGTATATTATCAAATACTCATGCATTATACCATGAACACACAACCTTGACCCCCCATCCTTACATACAAATACAATTTTGTTCCTTCCCATTTGACTATGCAAAATTACCAGTCTAAGGTAACGCGTGGTCTAAGATTTACGATAAACTCACTGTTTGTCACAGTACTTCCCACTTGTTAATTTTGCTACTAAACATCTAGAAATGCTACAATGAGTATAATTTCTGCTTGATGTAAAGATGTTTTATTTTAGTCCACAAAACAGGATTAGACTGTACCAGAAAATTATTATATATGGTATACCCTGTACTTAAATATCCTAGCGGGCACTTCAATTGAGAAAGTGAGGAAATGTTTGTTTACAAAAAAGCAGACGCACACAGTAAATAAATTTCGATGGACTTCTGCTTCAAGACAGTTTCTAAATTACAAAAAATAATCACACTTCAGAAATGTAAATAAGTCTTGGTAGCGAAGAAAGTAAAATTTCTTCTGGAGTGAAACAGCATTTAAATAGTTTTTGCTGTGCTTTTATGGAGCCAGTTACAATCCTAGACTCTGTCAACCATCTAATGAAAACATCCCATTTAAGCCATGTTTCAAAACAGGCAAGAGGTAACGCCTTGA